TTGATTACGTTGGGCAGCCCGTCTGGAAATTGGTAAAACCTACAGATTTTACGTGTGTTTTCTAAGTACTTCCACTAAGACTACGTTAAACTCTGGTGGGAAAATTCTGTGGCATTTTCAAATAATTTAAATGATGTCATCAAAATTTGAAAAGAATTGTGAAATTCACCGAACCTTTATATAGTTCAGTATGAATCCTGCACACAACCTAAGACCTTATTAAGACAATATAAATTAAGCATAATTTGGAGTATCACTATTAAAAATGACATTCTAAATGTTTCTCACTCTGTGAGGCTTATTTTAGGGACTTGGCCAAAATTCTGAAAGACCTAGTTTTTAAGTACATCTGAAAGTGGGAGTTTTAAAAAGAAGGGCTCTTGCGATAAATTTAGGTGTTAATTGTGGAGCTCTGTTACTTGTTAGAGGTCACTGAGCAGGGCAGGTCGCCTCTTTCAGGAGGTAAGTGTTGTGTCAGTCAAGGCCCTGGTAACTGAATTGAGCCCTGCCTGGGTGTCCAGGACACACTGTATCCCAGATCAGGCGGCCCTGTTATTTCTGGCTGTGGAGGGGGAGGTCAGTTACTCTCTCAGCTCTTCCCATTTGTAAAGTGGGAACAATGGTTACTTCTTTCTTTCACTGGGATGTTTTGAGATGAATAGGTGAAGAATATGCAAGCAATTTGAGATACTTTAGGTTTTTCAAAAATATTAATAGCATTTTTCTTAGGAGTTTTTCTTGATACAGTGGGTCTTGAGGGATAATGTGGCACAGTTGTTGTTGAGAGAAACCTTCCAAGTTATGTCTGAGTCCTTAGAGTTTTGGCCTCCCCCCACCTCCCCTTACTGAACATGGTGGAGTGGGGGGTGAGTGTGTTTCTAATCTCTTCCATCCCTTTCACAAAGCCAAATCCTTGTCTTCTACTTTCTCTCTGGATATTTTTTCCCTTGGTGATTTTTCTGGCCCCAGGCACCCCCTTGCGGCTGAAGCCTTCTAAATCCCCAGCCTGGAAGGCCGTTCTGTGCCAGGACCTCGCTTTCCATTTGATAGATGCAGCTTTCCATGTGGCTGTCTGGCCTCCCTTCAGAGTCTCTCAAATGGAGTCCACCTACCTTCCCCTTAAATACCATCCCTGCTCCTGGCTTGCTAGATCGTTAAAATATATTCATTCCTCCAATCAGTCACATTCCAGACTTTGAACTCATCTTCATCATCTCTTTTTGCCTCCTGTTCAGTTAGAAAACACATTCTGTCCATTTTTTTCTGTAGCGTCGGTCATATTTTTTGTTTCTTTTCAGCTGTCATCTGTGGTTCAAACCCTTTTCGTTTATCATCTCAGATTCTTAACCGGCTTATCTGGCCTCAGTCTTTCTGACTGTACTCTCCCCACCTACGTGCTTACTCTTTCCTGTCAACATAATCTTAAACTGTCAGACTTTGTTTTGTTCGTGGCACTCCTCAGTCAGAAACTCCTTGTGGCTGACGTTGCTCATCCCAGGTGGCCGAAGCTGCCTTCCTGATGGACAGTCATGAAACTGGGCTCTTCCCCTGACCTCCTGCCTGCACTTGTTCCTGGCTCTGCCTCCAAGTGGCTCTTCTGACCTTCAGGGCTTTCGGAGTAGGTCGAGAGGGAGGATGGGAAGGATAACAACTCCTCACACCACATCTGGGGAGCCCTCCCCACAGGGTCAAGAAGCCGTTTAACCTGGCGCTCAGACTGCCCTATAGCTGTCTCATCTAGTCTATCACTGCTCTGCCCAGACCCTCGCGTGAGTCCACTGTTTGCTTTCCCACAGCTGGTAGCACCAAGAGGTAGTCTCTCATCCTTTTTATCATAAATGGGGAGGCATTTATCTTTACCTTGAAACAACAACTACAAATATGTTATTTTGAGGAAACATACTGTCCTTAAAAAAAAAGTTCACATGTGTACCAGAGCTTCTTAAACTGTAGAGCAGTAAACAGACATTGCTCTGCAAACAGTAGGCGTTAACTATTATAGTTAGAGGATAGACCCTAAACCACAGATTTTATTTAAGTAGATGAGTCACTTCCTACCAAAATACTAAATGCCTTGACAAACTCTTGGGGGAAGACCTATAGAATCTTGTGGTGAGATAAGTGTGCCTGGCATCTTGGCAAAATATAGTTTAGGTTGTCACTGTATCTACTGGAACTTCCAGTCTTGCTTTAGGTGGGTTCACTTATGAATTCAGGAAGCCGCTTTGTCAATTATGTGTAGTTTTTGGAAGGTGAGTTTTCCTATGTGTTTTATTGTGTGGGAAAAACCAAGAACGGTCTGAGCAGCCCCTTGCGAGATGACTATATTATGCTTAGAGGGTCTTCACTCGAGGAAATGAATACTTGAGTGCCAGGACCAGCCCATCACGCCGCTGAAGCTTCCTTCCCCTTTTCAGGAAATTCAGAAGTATTTTGCAGGGTTCCTGAAAATCCCTCAATTTTAAATGTTTAGCCCCCAGAGTAACATCCACATCGGCAACTCCAGTGCAAAAACAATAACTCAAAGGGTCAACGGAGAATTCGTTTTAATTTGGGAATTGTGAAATGAGCTATCATGGGGCATCTTGCTTTAGACGTTTTGTGTTTGAGTTGCAAGCTTGGCATTTGAATGTTAGAAAAAAAACTAAGTCAATTCTTTCCTATGATAATTGAAAGTTTTTATGCATGTAACATAGGGAAAATGTTAGAAAAGCGTCGTTCCGTAGGAACGTCTTTGCTTCTAGGGTTCTTTCGCAGGATATGCAGTCAGCAGTTGCTCAGGTTGGGCTTTTTCTGGGAGAGATGGGAGTTGTAATAGAATCTTTAATCTGTGGCACAGTTCTCGTCAGACAGCAGGGACTGGCTGGAAAGCATTTGTATTCTTGCCCACCCACCTTTTCATGTGAATTTTTCTATCTTTATTTTTTGACAAGTAGTCTTGAAAATAAGGAAAGGAAATTGACTTTTTAATTTATGGGTATTTTGAGTGGATGGAGTTCCTTCATGCAGGAAAGTTGACAGTGATTCTTTTGTTTTTACTGGCATGGGGAGGAACATCCTGCTGTTACAGTGAGAGTAGTATGTTTTAATTTCTTTAGAGAAACTAAGTGTTTTTAGTTGTGGGGTTAGAGGGAATTATTGTAGGAACCCTAAACAAAACCTGAAATTTATAATGTGATAAATTACGTGTTCAGTACAATATAATGACATAGATGTATTAATTTAATCAAAAGAATAAGGGAGAACATATATTAATAGCTGTCCGTCAACCAGGTTAAGTGATAAATAATCAGCAGTTGCTCTTTATTAGTGGATGTGTGGAGCAGTACTTTTTGAAGAATTTCTCTTTGATCTTTTTTTCCCCTTCAAGTAAAGGAGAGATTCTAGGGGAGGAAAAAACCCCTAGAGTGCCATAGTCTAAATTTGCATTTATAGTACTTTCCTCACATATCCGCAGGTCTCTTATATATGTTCTACTGTGTGTTTACCTCACGTATTTCAGACAAAAGCTCTAATCAGCCTCATTTTCCCATTGGAGCTCTGCAGCTCTAAAGCCATCCAGAACAGGGGACCCTCTGTTTTCAGCCTCTGGAATGTGGAAACTATTGTCATACCATATTCTCCCACCTGGAGTAAATTCGCTAACCCCTGCTTTCTTGTTTAGGTTTGTGGCAGGACACTGCGCTATGAATTTGGGGAATCGGGCCCTGGGGTATTTGTCTGTGGTGTTCTGGGCCTCACTGAGGAAACTAGTTTATTGAAATGGGAAAAATTATTGGTTTATTTGTGAGCATTCTGTTCTCTGTCTCTTGGTATATTTTTTAGGTAGGGAAATTCCTCTGTGTGGTATGCTCTGATATACCATTGCCTTTTTGCCTTAGATAGAATCATTCTAGAGGGCGAGAGACGTGAGCAACCAGTTGCAAGCAGTAAGAGTTCATACCCTCTGATTCAGCAGTTTACCAAATCTTTGCTATTTTTTCAGTCTCTATCTTTACACATACACACAGTCTCCTGATTCTTAAAATGATGAGCATATCGTGTTTGATTTTTCCCTTTAGCTTATTTGATTTCATAATATAGTCTGCCATTTCAAAGGAAGGTTGGGGGTATATTTTTAGTGTGAAACTGGATGTTCTAGATGATTGTTCTTGTGAAATTGTATTTATTATTTTAGAAAAGGAAATGATTTTTCGTTTAGCAAATTCCTTGCAGATTCAGTATTTATGACATATGTGCTTTTTTGCTTAATCCAAGTAGGAGCTAAATGTTTTCATGTTGATACCTAGAATTTATAGGTTGTAATTTGGTGATTTCATTCTGCTGGTAGGAATTATGAGTGGTAATTGTTTGTGATGCGTGCATTTGCTGTGTTTGTAAATTAATAAAAACTGCTTTTGAGAAGTTTGCATAGTAGATTTTTAAATTATTTTTCCAGAAGTTTCTGGATTGCAAGAATCTTTTGGTCAGAGTAAGTTGAGTGTTAAACACTGTAAATCTACTCTACTGAAAGCTTAATCTCTCTGTTTGCTACAATGATATTTATTTACCATGAAAGATCTACTTTACATAGTGATTAATTTTAGAACATTTTTCGAATCCTATGTAGGCCGTAAACTTTCTAAGACTCCTTTCACAAAATGGTATTTTTAAAACTTTTTTTGCATCTAGTCCATGTTTTCAGTGCATTTATAACCTTTTAAATTTTGATACAGCCATACTAGTTCTCTTACTTATTTCTGTTTTACTATTTGTCCCTGAGCTATATGTTGCTTCTTGAGTCTTAAAAGTTAAAGTCTCAGCTGGCCCAGGGGCGCAGTGGTGAAGTTTGCACGTTCTGCTTCTCGGCGGCCCAGGGTTCGCCGGTTCGGATCCCGGCTGCGGACATGGCACTGCTTGGCAAGCCATGCTGTGGTAGGCGTCCCACATATAAAGTAGAGGAAGATGGGCACAGTTGTTAGCTCAGGGCCAGTCTTCCTCAGCAAAAAGAGGAGGAATGGCAGTAGTTAGCTCAGGGCTGATCTTCCTCAAAAAAAAAAAAAGTTAAAAGTCTCTTCTGAGTCTTGATGTTACAATGTGGAATTTTTTTGCAACTTAAAGTAATTATAAGATAATTAATATTAGTGACCTCTAAATGAATGTTGCATATTTAACTCATTATTTTCCAAGTAGCCCCAAAAGATCTAAAGTGATCCAAAAGAATAATTGTAAAATAGTCTCAGTGACTTCAAGGTGAATGTGCAAATCAAATCAAATAATTATTTTCCTGATTTTCTCCCCTCCCTCCCAGATTTCAGCTAATCTTAAAGAGTTTGCTGTTGCTTTTACTTTACCTTTCGTATAGTTTTGAGATTTTACAAATCTACAAAGGTCAGATATGGCAGTATAATGTGTTATATGAGTGGCATTAATGTTCGTTTGTGTCTGTCTTTAGTTTGATCTGCCCTGTCTCAGAGGATGGGTGACGGAGAGATGGCTGAGGCTGCAGGGCTAGTCTGACCCGGGGACTCGGGTGTCTCATGGATCTCTAGATTTCCTGGTCTCCGGCCCTCCATATCAGATGACAGCAGCTTAACAGTTGTTGAGGTTGTCTTGACACTTTAAGGGATGAGTATTTGAATAAAGACCTGAATTATTTTATTGTTGCTGTATTGATACTGCTCATGTATAATCAAATTATCTGTATGATATTATTAAGTTAAATATTTGTAAGGGTGATTTGTCCTAGAATTTGGAAGCAACATCTTGAAAAGTTAGGTACGTGTATGTTATTAAAATCAGATATATGAAATCAAGATCAAGCTCTTATTTTTCTAGGAGTGTATGCTATTAGTAGAGCATAGTTGGTGGTAAAGATTCAGGTGCTCTAAATTTGTATGTCTGCCTAATGTACTTTATCTGAGAAATGTCAGCAAGGTGGAATGGGATGGATATGTAGAAATATTCAAGAAAGTTTGGTCAGGCATAGAAGTTCAACAGGGAAACTAAGGCGTAAGTGAGGGTCGGAGTAGTCCTGGGGATTTTAAGATTTTCAGTATTTACCATTGGAGAACCAGAGACACTTAATTGCTTAGCATTTCAAAGAAATTTGATAGAATAGTTAAGTTTCAGTGATATATGTGGAAAGAGTCCCCTCTGCCTCTACGCTATAGGATTGATAGTTGAACTCCTCACATTTGATAAAACTTTGACGTTGAGGTATCTGTGTTAAGTGGGTATAAAAACAGTGCTGAGGTCAACACAATATGAAAGTTACGTAGGATTGCCACGACACTTCCACAGGGGTTTCAGTCCTAGAGGGGTCTTAAGGATGTCACTCCAATAACAACTCTGAGTCAGAAGTTGCTTTGAAATATATCAGCATGTTGCAGCTAGTCACGTGATTACTGCAGTGCAGAGGGTCTCAACCGGGAGGGTGTTTGGGATGGGGGCAGGGTATTTTTGGTTGTCAGAGTGATCCGAGGCACTGCTGGCATTGATTGTGCAGCGCAGTGCTAAATGGCCTTGCCAGAAGGGACAGTCCGCGCAGGGAGGAGTTGCCCAGCCCCAGACGCAGTGGTTCTCTGTTAAGAGACGCTGCCCGAAAGTCTCACTTCTTTTTTTGTAACACTCCTTGTTTTTAGTATAGTTTACTAATCTAACTTAAAAAAAAATCATTTGAGGAGTCGATATGGGATTTGCAATACTTTTGATATTGTAAAATATTTGAAAAATATAATTTGACAATGTTGTGAGTCAAGAGGGAGAGGGAAAAAATGAAGGTCTGGTTTTTAGCAGTTAGGGTTAGACGTGACGGGGAGGAGAGCACACACATACGGGTGGGCAGTGAACTCTTCATAAAGGTGTTAAGATCCTTCTTTTCTCTGGAAAAAATGATGAGTGCATTCTTATTTGGACAATGAGGGAACAGACAGCCTAGAAAGTCAGAGAGGATTATTAATCATGTAGCAGTCTCAATTATAGTGTAACTTTTTTATTAAGAAAAAGTTGAGATTCATTGAAATAAATGAAAGAATACAACGTTTTAAGTACTTGAATATGTTCGTTATTTGGTATCAGATGTCAGCTTATCTCAGTTGTGCGAATTGTGCCTGTGAGCTAGCAGTGATGAGAGGGGAGGAAAAGGAAAGGAGAAAAGCTTTAAATAAAAAGGGAAACCAAACGAGAAGCAGATGGAAAGAAGGAGGCAGCATCTCAGAAAATGGCAGCTCCATCCTCCCATGTCCTTAGGATAAAAACCCTGGTGTCATCCCCTACTTCCTTTCCTTCACACCTAACGTCTAATCTGGCAGCAAATCTTGAGGGCTCTATTTATAAAATATATCCAGGATCCATGTACTTCTCACATCTCTTCTACTCACTGGGCCAAGCCATCATCATCTCTTTCCTAGACTGATTGGGGCATTAGCTCTAAGAGGGCTGCGTGCCCCCACTCTACTCCCTACAGTCTCCTTCAAAATCTAAGTCACATTAGGTCACTTCTGGCACTTTGAGCCTCCCAGTGGCTTTCCATCTCTGGGTGGAAAAGCTGTAACCATTCTGGTGAACAGTGCTTACCTTGGGAAGCCTATACGTAATCTGTCTCCCCCCGCTCCACCGTCCCCCCACACCTTTCTGACGTCACCTCCTCCACTTTCTCACTCACTGTGCACCCGTAGCACTGGTATCCGTGCCTCCCTTCCAGTACCCAGGCATGCTGCCATCTGGGAGCTTCTCACGGCATGTTCCTAATTCCTTACGCTGCCCCTCCCCGTGCCTTCCTATCTCACAGCTCCTCCCTGGCTTTTATACAGATGGCCCCCTCTCAGTGGGGCCTTCTCTCACCACGCTGTTGGGGTCACAGGCATAGAGACAGAGACAGAGACGTAATCCCCATCTCCCTGTCCTCTGCTGCGTATTTTCCTCTAAAGCACTTTTGTTATCTCACGTGCTGCACATTTTACTTACTTGTTTATGGTGGGTCTCCTCCCCTAGAGGGCAGGGGTGCTCTGCTCACTGCTTCGAAACAGTGCCGCATACATAGTAGGTGCTCGAGTGGAGGCAGGAGTAAAAAGTTGGTGAAAAATGGTTAAGAAGCAATAGGAGAAACCAAAATCATGAGACTGGCTGACCTATCAACTTCCTTGAATCTGTGTCTTGTTAGTTGAGGATGTCAACTAGTACTTTGTGAAAATGAACTGAGCTGGTTTGTGCCTGCTGGGCTTAGAAGAAGCTTCGGAGATGATAGTTAAGATGGTGATACTAGCGGTTCTTGGGAGAAGGAAAAGACAAACCAAAGGAAGTGATAAAGCATTGTAGCTCTTTGCTAAGATGTTGCCTAAAACATTTGCATTTTACTGCAGGTCTTTTTGGTCTGTTCTTCAAAGAGAACTCCCTGTGTAAATCCATTTAGAAAAGCTTAGTAAGAGAGCAAGTGAAACCTCTGCCGTTTCATTTGCTCCTGGGGGCCGAAGGTGTCTCACAGGGTCCTCCTAGTGGCACTGTGTGGCAGTCAGTAGGCATTTACAGTAGAGGGTGTCAGGCAGGCAGCCTTCAGGGGCCACGAACTTCATCACTGTCTGACACTCAAATAACACGTTTGTAACTGCATAACAATTTCCGTAGAAAAGGGTCGATTATGTTCAATATAGGATGTATACTAAGGAAGGACATGTTAAATATATATGAGAGGCATGCTCAAATCTGAAATTTAAAGGAGTGAACTTCATGGGTTAACCTCCAGTTATCTGGAATTGTGTTCACTGAGTATTTACTTTACTGAGAGTTTATAATCATTTGGCCAGCACTGAGCTCTCTAACAAGATGCAAGTTATGGAATACCTTCCTTGTGCCAATTATGAGTAAACAATAGTTCAGATGACTAGGTCTTAACTTAAATATAGTGCTTTTGATTGTTAAAGGTGATCAGGTGAGTGTGGTTAATTAGCTCAAGGAGAAAAACCCCAAAACGATCCTTACTAATGAATGGGGGTAAAATGTCACAGCACTGTCTTTGTGCTAGTGGGCAGGCAATATATCTAGTACGAAGGATGTCATTACGTTACACATTCCTTGGTTTATTAACAATTAGAACATAAAATTACAATGCGGTCAGAGTCTTGGGGGTCTAGGAAGGAGAGATTAATTATTATAAGCAAGTCTCTGAAGAAATAACATTATGCTTAATGGTGTGTGTATATATACATGCTGAAAACATTTAGAATATTACAATGGAAGTGCTACTTAAAGTGGCACCATTTTCACTTATGAATGACTTCAAAGGACTCCTAGGATGTACGTTGCAGAAATTATAGAATTTCTTCATAGATTATTTAGAAACAAGTATGTCATATGTATTTACAAGAAATGATTTTGTCGTCTTCTTGTTTTACTATACTATGAATAATATTGAACAAAAATTTTAAAGGAATTATTGTAGTTCTTTCCAAACAGCTTTTATTAAAACGTTTGCATTTTACTACAAGATTTTGTCCTGTTCCTTGAAGAGAACTCCCCCTGGAAATGTTAGTAAATCTACCTTTCTACTTTGGGAACTTGAGAAACAAAGTAATGTAAAGGGGTTTAATTGTGTTTGTATTCAACACCGTGTTGATAGAAATAAAAGGATATTTACATTGCATAATCAGTTTCTCAGCAAAGCTTTGTGTTTCTGACTATTAACAAAGCTAATTTATTTCTTCTTAGGAATGATGTAATTCCAAAGGAAAAATTTGATGTTATTCTAATGAATCTGCTTTCAATTGTAGAGTACAATGAAGCCCTAGTAAAGATTAGTAAGAAATCTATTTTATTGTACATAATAAATCTGCAAAGTAAGCTCTCGGCATAGACCTGAGTTGATCTGACATGGAGTTGCTTTCTGAATAGCCCTTTGAGCAGACTCTGCAGTTCTGTATGTGGTTTTAAATCACTGTAAATTTGTAGGCAGGTGCATATTACAATTGTCTGTTTTTCTTTTTAGGGCTCATGTAATCAAAGAAGTTTCTTTGTTGTGTGTATCTTTTCAGAACACAACAGGAATTGAAAATGAATCAGGTGAGTTTCAAAATAAGAATTTATACAAATACATTACCTAGATGTTGGGCCAGTTCTTGATTTTTAAAAGACAGTAACACACATGTTCATTCCTCCCGGATTTTCCTTTCTGTTTCTCAATACCATTAATTAGTTCATTGCTTTCACAGTGTGCGTTTGTTCGTGGAGTGGAGCGTGTGTTGTTTTGGCATGGGTTGCCATTTCTGTGGAACCCTGAGTAGAGGGCTCATTCTTAGAAACATTAGTTCAGACTTTCTTTTTTTTTTAACCTCTCCTCTGCCACACTGTAGTGTTTTTTTTTGTTTTTTGTTTTGAAGCTTATTAAGCTTTCATTTTTAATACTTTGTAATTACCCATTGTTTGAAAAGGGAAGATCGAAAGTTGTTTTTAGAGACCAAAACTGATCAAATGGGAAAATTTAAGCATTCTGTCCTTGAAAAACATATTCATAGAATAAAAACAGGAGGGCAGATATTGAAATGTAAGATGTGTGTCTCCTTACAGGAGGTGTGGGATTACCTGGAGATTTAGCAGTTCTGCTATGGATATTTCTGTAGCCTCAAAGGTGTTCTGATGAGTAAAGCCAGTTATGTGAATTTAATATATTCTAAAGCAGGATTCTTATTTGCTCGTCTTAATATCATTTCACTTGCAGTTATAGAAATTTTGGGGTGTCAGAAGCATTTTCTTTTGAAATCTTCATAAACATATTTTTTTAAAATATGAAGGACAAAACTTAAAAATGTGGAGTCTGTAATTTTTAGTGCTTAGGTTAGAACCATCAGACTTGAAAACATTTTATATCCTTCATCAACTGAAACTTCAGACACCTTTTTATCATTTACAAGTAGCTCTAACTAGAGATCACAAGTCCAATTTTATTACGTGGCCAAGTTTAATAAATTCAGGCCCATGTTGCATTGAGAGATGTGAAATCTTTGGAATGGATTCTTTCGATTTCTTTTCATTACTTTTTTTTATCAGAGTACTTTTACTTTAATGCAGAGGACCCATACATCATAAAAAGTGAATCTGGCGAACACATGGGGCACATGGTTTCTATTATTTTAAGACTTGTAGATTTACTGACATGCTTTTGAAGGCAAATTATTTTTGAAATGGTGAGATGGGGGAGGGAAAAGAGAGCAGAGTGGATTTTCACAGTCATTGTCCATCAAAGTTATGTGCATATATATGTTACAGATTTCATTTATTTTCCTATTTTAAGATTGATTCTTAATGCCAACCTGGTCACGCAAAGGAGCTTGCTGTTCTCCTGCCTAGGACCTTGTTAGAGGAGTCTTGGTTCTGGATTAGAATGACTGTGAATGCTTCCAAAGTGGAATCTAAATACTGACATTGCTTTTCTTGCATCACTGGTCAGCATTTATTTCAAGTGGCTACAACTTTAACCTTAGGCTTAATGATGCTTTAATTGTTATACTGTATTAGGCTAGTAATATTTTATATCTAATGTATTTAGACCAGTTTGACACCTCAGACTTTCACTTGAATATTCCATTTTATCAAACGAACTTGCGTTTAAAGAAAGTCCACATGCCATTCATGAGCTGTAGCAGTAACCATGTCTTTTTCTGGCTCTTTTACAATTTCATTTTGCTTTTGACAGGTTTTAATATCAGATCTGCAGAGGACTGCCTTTGATGCCAAATGCCAAATATCAATGGAAAAGCGTCCTCTTATGTTTCTAATGGTTAGCACATTTCTGATTTGAGTGTAATTTAAATGGTCTGGTAGTAATGAAACTTTTAGTGGATTATAAAAATTGTCCACTTTCTATGAGTAAAATTTTCAGTGTCTTTAGTTATATTTTCATTATTTGAAGAATATTAGTAGTATGATATTTAGACCTGACTATTATGTCATGGCGTGAGTGTTTTTCAACAATTATTCCAGTAACTTTTAAAAATTAAGAATTGTTTCAGGACGTTGTATGTTTTTCCCTCTTGTATTTATTCTTCTCATTTCAGCCAGTGAAAATGAGCAGTAAATGTTGAAAAACTTCAAAATAACTACACAAAATTTCAGGTATTAGAAAGATTTAACTTGAGCCAAATTGATTTTTAATTAAAATCTTGATGGTGAGTTTAGGGTTGCATTATTCCCTCTGGGGACCGGTCAGCATTGCTTTGATGAGTTTTAGCTGTCAGATCTGTCTCTTATGGTGAGCATGGTCTCTAAGACAGTAACACAGAATCGCTCGTTCATGTGTGCCTGACAGTTGAGTTTTACGGACTGAAGGGTCCTGGGAGCGAGCATGCCATATTGTTTGCGAGTGAGTCCTTTAGAAGAAGCAACAGAGGCCAGAGCCTCCCAGATTTTAGGTACTGGCTGTTGATGCAGCATTCTGAACTGCTCAGTCTTATCAGCATGTTCCAAGTCGTTCCTGGTGTGGTGGCTCGCCAGGCTCTCCCTCCAACCCCAGCCCTGGGCTCCACAGAGCCCCCAGACCCATATGTTCTTTGTCTGCCTTTCTCTTCTGCTCTGTTCTCCACTCAGCACTTACCCCTTTCTTAATATCTCTTATCTCCCCAATTTGGAACCCAGCTTTCTTTGCATGTGAGCCTTTGTTCCTTCCAGCTGAGCTCAGGCCTGGTAGGGAAGGAAGAGGAGCAGGCACTCTACTCTCTCCCCTTGCTCTCCATTGTCTTTTCTCTCCATTTTCAAATCATAGATATCTTTTTCTTGCTTCACTAACATTCCACATCCATCCGAATATTTAACTTTTGAGATGTTCCGCTATTTTCCTTATGTTTTTTCTAGATTTATATAGGAGAATCCAGACCTTTATAAGTGGCTCTCTCATTCCATAAAGAGTTTAGAATGCTGTATTTTATAGAACATCCAAGGTGAGCAAAGTTCCATGATGTGAATATGCTCATAGTAGCTTCAAGTAGATATGCTGGAGTTTAATACCACCTCTGTATTGCTTGCTCAGCCAGCTTGCCAGGCCCTCCGTTAAGTATTGTGTATACATTTTCTCATTAATTCACTTTTTGCAGCCACTCTATGACGTGTAAGTATTATAGCCATTTTATGGGTGAAGACATTAAGGTCCAGAGAGGTGGCATGGCTTGCCCATGATCACTCAGATAGTAAGTGGTAGAACTCTGATTCACACTCAAGCCTGTCAGATTCCAGAGCACAGCTTCTTGGTCACCATGCTATACTGCCCTGTCAGTCAGGATAAGCTTTGTTATGCTGTGCTAACAACAGGCAGCCCCAGAATCTCGAGGCTTAACACAGCACCTGTTTCTTTCTTGTTCTCACTACACATCCAGCGTGGGTCTACTGTTGTGGTTGCTCAAGAACCAAGGATGATAGAGGCTTTGTCTCAACGCATGTCACTTCCACTCACATTTGGCCACATCTATCTTAAAACTCGGGGCGGGGAAGCAGCGCAGTCCTGTCAGATGCCGGAAGGAGAGGAGAGCCGTGCTATTTGGATACATCCTCAATGATTTTCCCCCAGCTTTATTGAGATATAATTGGCGTATAACACTGTTATCCCTAATGATTTAATACAAAGGCCTTGATTACTAATTTATTGAGTCACACTTAATTTTTTACAAAGAATCTTTGTATAACTGAAATTGTTACTAATATTTGAAACTTTCTATCAATATAGTAGTTTATGATTGCAGCATCTCTGCATCCCAATCAGTAATCTGTGATATTACCAGTAACTTGTAGCAAAGCAATTTAGCAATTTAGCCTTCCAAACTTGTTTTAAAGTTTTATATAGTAAGATAACAAAAGAAGCTTTTGATCACTTGATGCTGCAGATCCGACCCTGAGAATTGTGATAAGCCATCCATAGTTCCATCATCTTAACTGTTCTGAATGCTCGTTGATTCCCTCGTTCATCCTGCGTAGACAGCATCCCCGTGTGTTGTGGATTCTGCAGTGAACTAGGTAGGCAAGGGCTCTGCTCTATGACACATATGCATAGAGGGAGACAGTTACAAAGCAGGAAGACAAACAAGATCATTTCAGGTGGTGAGAAGTGCTGTGAAGACAGTGCAGCAAGGTGACGTGATGAAGAATGGTGGTGCAGGTGAGGGAGGCTCCCTGCACTCGGTGGGCAGAGCAGGTGGTTCTGAGGGGCTGGTTAGTAGCACAACAGACATGCAGGCAGGAACCGAGAGCCCGGTATGTGAAGACCTGGGCAGAGAACATTCTAGGCAGAGTGAACAGAGAGTGCAAAGGCCCTGAGGTGGGAATGAGCTTGCAGTTTCAAGGAACAGAGAGCAGACTCGGGGCTGGAGCTTGGCAAGCATCCAGGTGTGAGAGGCAAGGGCTGGATTAATGGGGCCTGAAGGGCCGTGGGAAGAAGTTTCTGTTTTATTCTAAGTGCAGTGGGAACCTCTGGACAGTGACATAATCTGATATCCATTTTTTGGAACATCATCCTTATTGTGCCGTGGAGACTGGCTTGTCAGGAGGCAGGGGTGTAGTAATATGTTTGTGCGCTATTGAGATTAATACCATATTTGAGGACAGTTTCTTCCATTGGACAGCTTAATGGACCTGCCAGCTTTTTGGAAAGAGAGTCCTTGTTTATATGTTTCTGAACTATTTGACTGCTGTTCTTTTCCAAAGGCAACATATAAGATTTTCTTGTTCTGTGTCCCCATCTGTTTATTGTTATTGTAGTCTTAATACTCATTCCTTAGGCAGATACGTTTTAATGCTATTTCAGTAAACTGAAGTTTGTTTGATTTCCTCCCATTGTTTGCCCCCAGAATGGCAGCTAAGAGTCTTGTTTGCAAGTCTAGACAAAGAAGAATTGTTCATAGAATTTAGAGTATTTTCATACTCTGATTCTTGAGTGTCTTTTGCTGGTAACAACAGTTATGATAGATGTCTTAGTGTGAATAAGCAATATTGAATTTAATCGCTTCTGTTACCCACTGCTTTTGCTCTCCAGTGTGTTAGTTTTGGACAAATTGATACTTAAGAAGCTAGGTGTTTTAATTAAGTAGATTGAATCTGGTATAATAATTTATGGTCATTCTCTGGATGGAGCGTGTATAAGGAGTTACTGCTATAAATTTAAATGAAATACCAGTAGAAGTTGCTCATTCTTATATTTTGAAAAATAAGCACAGTAGTATGTGTCGCCTACGTAAGATGGTACACGTGGCCTTAGGTCGCAGCAGGCAGCGCCAATGCTGTGCTGTGCAGTGGAGTTACCTTCCTAATTCCAGTGACTGTTTGTTTAGGAGTGTGAGGAGAGGGGAGTGGACAGGAAGTGGAGCAGGCTGGCTCCAAGGCGTCCAAGGCCACAGTGTGCCTGGAGCAGAGCAGACGAGGGAGGAGTGACTGGTCAGAGAGGTGTGGGGTCCGCTCTGTGGTCATTGCAAGGACCAGAGTCGATTTTGCCCAGGGAGATGGGAAACCATTGGAGGGTTTGGAGCAGACGAATGCTTTAGTTGGGTTAAGAAAAAACACTGATTAAAAATTTTTTTCCAAAGCATCTGTATTTTTGTCCTTTATTTTCTTGGGGCATTAAAGTTCCATTTTAACATCATTTAAAGAGGAGAGTGTAGGGTTTAGTTACTTATTTTACTTTAAAAATAAACTTTGAGTTATAATTTCTGTGCAGTAAAATGTACTCATTTGAAGTACAGAGTGTTGAGTTTTGACAAATATGTACACTTCTGTAACTACCGCTGCTGTCAAGCTATGGACATTTGCACCTCCCCACAAAGCTCCTACTTGCTGCTCTGCACTTAGTCCTCCCCCCAGCCCCTATTCCAGGCAACCACTGATTGGCTCTCTGTCCCTGTGGGTTGGCTTTTCCTCATTTCTTGTGAACAGAATCATATAGTACGTGCTCTTTTGTGTTTGTCTCCTTTTGGTCGGCATAATGTCTTTGAGATTCATCCATGTTGCTGTGTGTAGCAGTAGTTTATTCCTTTTACAGAAGATATTTTGTGGGAGAACATTGTACCATCTGGATAAATATGTTCATAGTTGTATTTCTAAAGATTTGGTGAAACCCTGGGATGGCTTTCTATCTTTCATTTTAGTTATCCCAGCCCCCCCTTTTTTTCTAATCTTCAATATATATATGGTGTTAAAGTAAAAAACACTGTTGCTGTTTTAGCACATTATCGATATAGAATTACATTTTTATAGATAATTTATAAATCTGATTTTTCAGACATTTTAAAAGAAGTCTTCTAAGTGAGGTAATTCCTATCTCTCATAACTTAAACCTCAGTTAATGAATGTATCATTTAGGAAATTAACCTGTTGAATAACAGTGGCACTTAAATCTCATTTTGAATCATGTATTCTACTAGATAAATTAGCTATTTTTATAAAATCTGGAACATTGTTTTTCTGAATGAAAATATTTGATTATTTCTGAAATTTGAAAAAAAGTTCAGCAACTTGAATAGCATTTCGTTGTATAACTGTGGCAGGAAGTGTGGCAAGAAGGCTTAGGTTTTTGTTATTCTGATATTAACGCTTCAGTAGAGAAGAAGGTTGTAGGATTGTTTAGCTCTGTCTCACCTTTGCTGTCTTTTGACTCACATTCCACCTTCACTCCTGACTTTGCCACTCCAGCTGTGTGACCTTGGGCAGGTCACTTGACTTCTTGCTGTTTGCTTTCTTACCCGTTAGATAGGGGTAGTAGTGGGGCCCACCCCATGCAGCTGTGGTCAAGAGTAACCGAGTTAA